TCAATTCTCAAAAAGTCATCCAGTCAAGTTCACCTTGGAATAATCGAGCTTCACTAATCTCTGAAAAGTTGCACAGAGGGTCCACGTTCTCTTTTTCACTAGGAAAAAATACGCAGAGATCTGAGCTACTTGGGTTGGTGTTTGGATAGTTTCCTCGCAATTTCACGATGAGCTACTGATAAGCTAAACAATCAAATTGGATTTCTCGCCATTTCTTTTATTTATACTTACGATCACATACATTATATAAGTCACGCATCAATCCGCATCGTATCTCTTTCTCTCTCCAGCTTCTGCTGTCCAGTGTGTGTTTTTGCTTGGGCCGATGGGTGGCTCACCATTGCCGTGTGTTGGTGTTTTTTCGTCTCAGCTCGGTCAGCGAACCGCTTTTTTGTGTAAGGGGCCCACGCCAACAAGCACTGACTAATCAGTAACGGCAAAACGACGACGACGTGGCCGACTGGCTCACATGAGCAACGGTTCATCCGCTACCGAAACACGCTCTGGCGTTCAAATAACGGTGTGGAAAATAAGCAGTAAAAACAAGAGAAAGATCTATAAGAAGCAAGGAAGAAGGGAACATGATAGCAAGACAAAGAATGTGGTACTAGCAGAATTTATTTAGCTAGATACGATTTTGCTCAAGGACAAACTGGCTCGAATGTGTGGCGAAATGAGCACGAGCTTGAGCCAAATTCTTCTCAAAAACTTGCACAGACAATATGGTCACGATTCCGCAAGACAAGCAGAAAGATAGACAATTGTATGCGGTCTTTCAACTACATAGTCATCGTATACAAACTCAGAACTCCTCTCTTCAAAAACTAAGAAACATTGGATTATTTAAAACAAAAGAACAAAATAACCTAAAAGATTGCTTTGTAACCCTAACATTTCCAGATAATTTCCGTATCAAACATAACTAGTTGTTCTTATCCAAAATCAACATAAGATTCATTTCCTGGTGCTCGTCTGTCGAAAAAGATTTAGCTTTAAATAAAGAGTTTGGGAAAGAATCCTTTATATGGAAGAAATTAAGTATTTTGAAACCAAAGCTGGCCATAATAGTTCCTGGGAAAAGAAATAAGCAACAATTTTTGAAAAAAATTTTTCTAAGTGATTGCTTGTTTCATTCCTCTTCTAAATTCAGTGAAAATTAGTTTTTTCCCTAAACGTCAATGCTTGCAAAACATTAATTCAAAGAAGTAAGAATGCAATTTGATAAATATATTCTTATGCCACGATAATAGCATGAGTAGGGCAAGCAACATACCGGTGGATTCTATTAAACAACATGACTACGCAAAATCCATTTTATGATTACAAGCAAACCAAATCCTTTAATCCATTTCGGTTCGATTTCAGAAGTTCAATAATCCTTATTAGATTCCTAGAATGTGCGATTTGGCTATGTTCAACAATATGACATATTCGAGTAATTGGAAATAAGTCCATATGTGAGTTATTGATCAAACAGAAGCACACCATTGCAATATTAGCAATACTATGTGAATAATAAATGAATATGTGAATAAAAACTATTATTTGTATTTATTGTGGCTCTTTTAGTTGTGTCATTTCAGATAATCACTGCCAGCAAATTAGTTTGAGTTTGAGTAGAGGAATACTACATATTTACCATTTATCAGTGTACCCCAGAAATACCCTCGGTAGACATCTTTAGTTATTGTCTTTGATTTTGATTAATCTCCCAGGAAGAAGGTAAGGGAAAGTGAGACATGCACAGCGGAGACTTCTGAGAATAGAAATATGCTTCGAATTAGCGTGCTAGTAAATGAGCTCAGCCAAAAAACATTTCGTGATCTACAAACACTCACAGATGATTGCAAATCTAAACCATCGTAGCGTTTTATTGGCAAAAGCCTTTAAGAACAAATAAAATGAGAGTCTAGTGATTTGTAGTGGTTGTACGCTCTCAATTTGTCGCAAGCAAAAAAAGTATATAAGTCTAGCAAGTTAAGGTACAATTTTTTAAGAGTAATGAAACAAACTTCAAT